TGCTTAACATAATTACTGATTATATTTTATTATCTATTATTATATGCATATCATTAATATATTCTTATAATTATCAGAATATAAAAAAAAATCCTTAAAACATCAAAATATATTTTTATATAAGGTAAAAAGAATAAATATGTTATATTATTGGTTATCACCTATTATACTCGTATATAATTTATAAAATTGTAAAAGTATATCTAAATACAAGTCACATTTAAAATTAAATAATAATAATATGAGCTCGATTCGCAGTTTGTTAATTTTTATTTATCAAAAGAAAGAGAAGAAATTAAAAACACATGTGTCCTGTTAAAAACTAACTATTCAAAAATAAATTATAGTGTCACCGGAATGATTTAATGATTCTAACTCCATGCATCCAAATTTGTTCAGGCATCTGTCAGTTATGATGGAATAAAGAAACTAACATATATACGTGAAGCCTTAAAAGTATTATGAGTACACACTTTTTTGTGCAATCTTGTAAATAAATAAAACTATATAATAGTTTTAACTTTATATCTGTCCGCAACATCGTAACTATCTGGCAAAAAGACCTATTTCAATACAGTACTTTTTTTTATTTATCAATCAATTTTAAAAAGAAGGATCTCAATTACGTCGTATTTTTTTTTATTTATAATTCCGACAGTTGTACAATTAATATGGATTTTTATCCATTGGATCATATTGAATCTAAAAGCATATACAGATTAATCCTATAGGAATTTCATCAAAATCGGTTAAGTATTTTAGTTTTTAAATATAATTTACTGGTATTATCATAACTAAAATCGATTTTTTTTTATAAAACATAATTTAATTACAACCTCTAATGTTTTTTTAATATATTTTTTTACAATTTTTTTTATTGTAATATAGTGATATATTTAAGTTTAGTACTTAAAACAGAAAAAGCTGAAAACAAAGCAATACGAACAAACATATTTTTCTATTCATCGTATCATCAAATCAGCCATTGACTGTCCTCTAATGAATATAGGCCTCCCCTTATTGGGGCGTTTCGCTAGTAATTGCTATGCTTGGCAAGCGCTTTAGCAACCGCAGTTAGGTTTTGGTGGTATTTAAAGAAGGACGCTGCTGTCCATCCCTCGACCACTTTCTATTGATTTGTTACAATGTTGCTTTAAATTACAATCCTCATTATTGACTCAATATTTTCTCATCACATCTCTATTTGTATTTAACCAATTTTTACTTCTATTTGTCTAATTTACTTGACTTTAGTATGCTATATCATCAGATACCACCGCAGTAATAAAACAATTTCGTCTGTATGATCAGGGTTGACCTAAATATACGTGGTGATAATCGCTATGGAGTATTACAGTTCTCATTGGCTCGCAGTAGTTGTAGTTGATCATTCTTCTTCGCTTGAGAGGCATATTAAAGACTATTGCTTGTTGATACTGTTGTTTGACCGGGTGCCATTCGCCTTTTATATCAGCTGAACAAGGATCTTGAAAGTTCTTAACGGTTTGCGATGAGTTATAGTAGGTACTAGAAAGTTCGAAAACTTTATACTTTTTGCCTTTGAATGAAACAATGACTTGCATTGACACTCTTCGCTGCTATTCGACTCCCATTTTCTGCAAAAGAAGTAAATTTCCAAGCCTAAGCTATTCCACTAATCCCAGTAGTCTTTTATAACTGAACCGAATTTTAAAACATCAAATCGTTGAGAAATAAGTCCATTCTGCATCCAATCTAGAATTGAATTTAAATCATGGTCTTCTTCTTGTGCTTTCCTTATTCTAGTCCAGTCGTCTAGAACTAGTGACAGACGTGCATTTAAATTTATTTCATTATAAATTTTCTGATCTACACTAATGTAGTCTCTTTCAAGCAATATAACGAGCATTATTAAGAACCTTGAAGAAATACTTCTTGACCGTTGAATCGTAGAAGTTCCCTTGCAATATTCACGACATATCTACTATTCTTTAAAATGTCTAGTCCCAATATAGCCATTTGTGATATTATCAGGACCATGTATTGGCCACCAATTCTTAAATTTTTTTTATACAACTTAGAATGGCAAACAAACTGACGGCACACCTGATGGAAAGTAGTAACCGTCGCCTTTAGACATGAGCAGTACCATGGACATAATAGAGTCTCTTTCGTCCATAATACCCCCATGTGTTGCCATTCCTGAGGACTCAGGTGTTATTCCTTTATACCCTGTAACCAAGAACAGTAACTGGCCGACCCGTTGCTGTTTTTAATTGATACGATAGAGGTCGCTTCTCTCACATTATGGAACGTTTTAGCAACTTAGGTCTTACTAGCATGTATGTTGCCCATAATGTGATCCATAATGCAACTGCAAGGTTTGCCATTTAAAATACCCTTATCAGAGTATTCCCGTTGCGGACTTGCGTCATGATTTTGATCGAGGGCTTATGGTGCTCAGCCGACATCCTTCTCCTTTTGATCTAGGAAGAGTTTAGCCTAATATGCTCCTTTTCTTCAAAGCCATAGCATGTAAAGCCGTCTCTGGATCTTGTTATATGCTTATGACTTCTCGAAGTTTATTAGCTCTAAAATCCTTTTTGATGGCTTCTGCTTCTAAGGCATGTATTAGAAAACTCTTCAGCATCAAATCGCAACAGAACTCTTATTTCTTGTTTTCGTATACCGTTGATAAATATCTTAACAACCTACAGTCGTCTTGATAAGAATTTAAAAAATATTGTTAATATCTATGGTTTTATGATAGCGTAGATATTCTTTTGTTCTTATAGAAATTTAGATCTGTTTTTCTCCATAAATACCTTAATTGAAAAATTACGAATAACATGATACGATGCGCTTTATTTTTTCCACGAAATAAGAGAGGAATAAAAAGTTGACAAGACATTTTATTAGATTCCTCCCTCCAATACATGCTACAAATGCTTACAAATTGTATGGTCTTTAGATATAGGGAGCTCTTAAAGTAATATTTATTTATTATACTATGGAATATAAAAGTTGTTGTAAAGATTTTGCACCATTTAATTTCCATTGTTACCTTAATTTAAAATTATATTAATGTAAAGGTATGTTGTGGGTCTGTAATTTTATATCTATAATTATATTACTCTAGCTATTTCGTACGCTTGGAATTCAGAAGTAAGAAAGACATTTAAATAGACTTTTTCTAGATGAAACAAGATAAAACATACACCAGATTTTATATTAGTGCTTTAAAATACAACTATAAAAACTACATCCAGTTTGGCGCCGTTGTGTTATATCGAAACAAATATCGCCTTATTACAATTGTATTATATTATACGCCATTGTATTATAATATAAGACAATAAATATATAAACATAGAACCAGTCACAGAGAGAATTAACAGATTTGTCTCGAGATATACTAGACTTTGGTGTCTGATTTGTTTACAACTAGACGCGAATAGTCACTATCGGAAATAAAAAAATTCTTATAATTTTTCGAACATTCTTTACTTGGGATAAATATTTAGATTCACTGATAGAATACTTCTTTATTAAGATGCTAATGTTTTCTATATCACCCTGTAGATACGACATAATTTCCATCAAATCTTTTTTACCATTAATAGAGTGTAAACAAGCCATCACAATATTTTAAATTTCGTAACGTAACATCTTAAATGGTGTATATTGCAAAATTGATAGTTAAAGCTTTGGAAACTCATCATCTTAATATCATTAAGAGAAGGTTGTTGAAATACTTTTACATATTAAGAGTGGAAATAAACTGAGCCTACTAATATATTAGAAAATAATCTATGCATATTTCAATGTAAAATAAACCCGTACAAAAGACAGAACATTTTCTTGTTGTGTAATTAAATTTTTCTTGATGTGAATAAAGTAAGACTTAAAATTTATTCTTACTGAGGATTCAGTCATTTTAAAGTAAATAACATTTAGGATCCTAAACATATTAGTGTTTTTTCAATACCGACACCTGTATCCTCTATTATTTCAAAGCATTTAATTCGCCTATGTTTAGCAGTGGTCAATATATGGCTTGTACGATACTGAAACTGTCAGTAGGAAAGCTTTCAGATCTCTTTTGCTCTTCTTTTGCTCTCTTGCCGATATTTGTTATCTGAATCTTACGAAAGACCAGCTTAACAAACTTGAGTGTCATTAAAACGTTTCTATTTGGTTTATTTTCGGTCGGGTTTCGCGCTAAGCTCAAATGGCTTTCTATTCGTTTTAAAAAAATATAATGAAATCTACTAAATTTCCTCCGTATCTCTTTTATATTTTCGTTGTGAAAAAGAATGTAACAGAATTTCATATTGCACAATTTAAGTAAATTAATTATTTAAATAGTTAAGTGATTTATGTTTTTATTTTATTTATTATAATTTTATAATATTTTAAATAATATAATTATTATTTTTCCTATTATAAGTAGTACTAATAGGAATAAATTATATATACTTTAAAGTTCAAATTTTTTATTTGAGAGATATTTTTAAGAAAAATGCATAATTTTCCCCCATTGAAGCATATGAGGCTTCCACTTTCTATTCGTGTAAAATTTTACCTATCTATTTTTAGAGACACAAAAGTTCTTAATATTTAATCAGAAAACGACCTCTATTTTCCACTAAGCTGCACCTTGACACTTGAGCACGCTTATATGGTGGAACCAATATATAAGTTCTGACTACGCATAAGTAAACGCAGTATAGAGCGTCAACCTCAAACATGTTACACTGATAAATCGAATTCGTAGATGTACGTGACCTTCACTCAACTCACTTCAAATGACAGTATATAAAGCCCGTTAATATGACGATGAGAATGATGAATAGGAAGAAAATAATGTATTGTTTATACGTTGAACAGGAATGTAATAAACTTAACTAAATAATAATGAGAAGGGAATAATAGAAAGAGTTTAATAACAAGATCACCATGAAGATCAACATAATCATAAGAACCCGTAAAGTGGAATTAAATCTATGCTTATGTTCCAGATCTAAATATTGTGGAAGCGTAACCTCACCTTGAGCAAGATGAACCCAGATAATAACAATATCAAGAATAAATCTACCGAGAAAATGGATCCAAGCCAGTAAGTTGATTTCTTTTTAAGTGAGACCCCAGTGAGTAAAAATAAACTCCCCATTTCTTTATTTGATTACTTTAATATAAGCATGTCTCATTGTATCTCACTGTGATAAATTGTGAAGAGAAAATAGATCTATTTATTATTATTATTATTCGTTAAAAATTTTAATTAGATTTTTTTGTCCTAATAGGAAATACCTTGACTTCCTCAATAGCAATGATCCAACAATGCCCAGCTTGAACATAGATACTCAAAACATCAATTGCGAAGATCCTGAAAATGGTTCAGTCGAATCTATTGCAGGATGGTACGATGGTTCTGTGATACTTGTCACTGGTGGTACAGGTTTCGTTGGCAAGACACTACTGGAAAAACTGCTTAGAAGTTGTCCAGGTATTGATACCATATATATTCTCATGAGACCGAAAAGGGGATTGACCGTGGAGCAAAGGTATAAGGAACTGTTGAAAAACCAGGTATGTATTTTTATCTAAACATCGCATAAAATACATAACATGTATTTTATATCCTATCAATATTAATTATATATGAGTAGACCAGGTTATTATAAAAATTATCTAAAAACGAAAAATATCTGCTATAAATGCCAAAAAATGTCCAAAAATAATAAAATTGAAAACCCATAATGAATATATTAGCATCATTAAGGTAAGAAATTTAACTGTAATTACAAAATATTTAAGGACATTTATATTCTGATACATACTCTTTCAAGTATTTAATTTTTCAATCGTCACAAACCTAAAAAAACTGCAAATTGTTAATATATATGTCTATTATGTGTTAAATTATTTATTTATTAAGTACAATGTCATAAAAATCGTGTCAAAATATCTCTAATAACATAAACTTGTTAGGTATTTGACCGAATCCGCGCACGCTGGCCTGATCGTCTGAGCAAACTGACACCCATCACAGGAGATGTTTCTGCTCCGAATCTTGGAGTCAGCGCTGAACAGCGGGAGCTACTGAAAACTGTGACAACACTATTCCATTCAGCAGCGACTGTACGGTTTACTGATCCATTGCATGCTGCTACAACACTTAATGTTCAAGGAACGGCATTAGTTCTAAAGTTAGCTGAAGAAATGCCGAAGTTGAAGGTATTTGTAGAATATTATTTTGCATTACATCCATTTTATATTAGCTGCAAATTAATCAATTAAATGACACAATTTTGAATTTCAAAATTCAGAAATAATTTTCTTTTAGTATCTGATTATTATTCGATTGACCCGTCACCTTAGCACTATAGCCTTCATAAAATCACATAGATTTAAAAAAACATGAGGCTATTATTATTTGAATAAATTATTTGAATAAACGTAACCCTTCTTTCCAGGCTTTTGTTCATGTATCAACAGCATATAGTAACGCTCCACGGTCTCATATTGAAGAACGAGTGTACCCACCTCCATACGATCCTGACAGTATTGTCCGTTGCGCCAAGATGTTGCCCCCTGAAACGATTGACGTGATCAGTGCAACTTTACAGGTACGCTGTAATGATAATTCAAATATTCCATCTAATCTCTAATATTGAGCAGTGAGGCTTAATTTTGATCATCATATCAGCCTTTAAATATCCATCACTGAACAGCCTCCCCCTTGGGGCGTTTTGCCAGTAGTTACCAAGCTCAGGCGGATTGGCAATTGGCAACCGCAGTCAGGCTTTAGAGATATTTGAGGAGGGACGCTGCTGCTCATTCCTTACCTTCCTTTTGTCGACTCTTACGACACCCACGGGAAGGGAAGGGATGGCCTATTTTTTGCTGGAACCACACGGCTATTCCGGGACCACATGGCCATTAATTAATTAATAACTAATTTTGATAATAAAATTTAATTTTAAAGAAAAAAATGAAAATTCGAATGCTCAGAGTCGTTGAAAAGCACACTGAATGCCATGATGCATCCTTCACTAGATCTAAGTAATTTCCATTAAAAAAAATCTATACATATTTTCTCATGTAACTTATTAAACTACATATTTTCAGGGAGAACATCCTAATCCTTACACTCTAACGAAGTCTCTTGCTGAATCCATAGTTTACAACCATACAGATCTGCCTGTTTGCATCGTCCGTCCATCTATCGGTGAGCAAATATTTATTTCGATAATTTATAAATTTTTTATACTGCCAAACAATATTATAGTAATTAAGCTGGCGACCTACCTTACCGTCATCTGTTAACACAAATATTGCTATCGTTTCTTGCCACTGTCGATGATTAATTTAATTTATCAGGAAATTAACTACCAACCTACTTATAGTCACTTACTTAGTCTTCCTTTTTTTCCGACCAGAGTTATGTATGTTATATATCTACGTTAATATATGTATATATTTATGTATAAATGTATTAGTGCTTACTTACACATGTTTAGATTTATTTTTTTAACGCGCCACCTACTTATTTGTTCTTTAATTCCTTCTGTACAAAGATTGTCTGTCTGGAAGAGATTGCTTAAAATAAGACCTTCTTTTGTACTACACTATACTTATTGAAAATTCTTCAACAAGTCCTGTAATATTGGTACAATAAAGTATTAAATAAATATTTTAATTTTTACCAATCTGACTCATGTATTCAAATGTAAACAATATCAATAACTTTGTCTTTAAATATTCTTCCAGAAGATTTTTAGCGAATTGCGATGACTATATGTCAATCAGGTTATATTTTAATATTGTGATATGGTGAGCCAAAATAAAGCATTAAATTGATTTAGATATTTTTCTATAGTCAATGCTATCAGAATAATAAATTTAATACATTTACAGTCATACATATTTTTTTTATTTAATACACTATCAGTAATTTACCTTTATTGCGTTATTGAGGGGCACACGAGCTATTCTAGTCAGTCTTTAATTAACTTATAAAAAATTCATAGGTCACGGTATTATAACCAACTAATTCTCTCTTACTAGGCAGTCATAAAACAACTTTATACATATCGATTTCTTTACTAAACCACATGAAGAGTTTCCCATAGTTTGCTGATTATAAATTTATATAGATCGATGTGAAATTGGTGAGCCTTATAAAGTAACAAGGACATTTTATGTACCTAAGTTCGTATGTAACTTTTTAAATGCCTCATTTCTTAACAACCATAATGTGCCACTACCACAACCAGGCACAGGTTTTCCAATAAGAAACGCCTACAACCTACTAATACTCGCTGATCAGATATCTTGGGTTTTCTTTTAATCTCTTATAATATTCTGACGTAAAAAAGAGAGTTGATACACCAAGCAGTTTAGAATTTGTTTTTATCGAACTTGGAATGATATAAAAGTCGTTGGCCACTAATGAAAGCGGTGATGGCTACTTCATTGCAGAAACACGAGTAGGACAGAAATACTAAAGAAAATGACTTTTATACAAACTCTGTAGATAGAAGATACGATGGCATATTTAAGGTTAATAAAAGGGGCATTTAAACGATTTCAATGTTATCTGCATTCTATTTTTTTATATAATAATAATAATAATTTATTTCAAAATAAATGTTACATTTTAAATATAGGTAAAACTCTGCTCCCTAAATATAATAATATAAATTTTATACTTGACATATTTAATAAAAGATCTTGATATATTTTATCGATGCTGGAAAGTGTTACTAATACTTAATGGAATTTGAAATAAATTTTTATAATGAGGACACAAGCGCCTTGATATTTTTCTCTAAATTAGTCTTTCGTTTATTTATTAACTTATTTAATCATTCATTAATTTAATTATCATTTATTCATTAATATTTTATTCATTCATTTATTTCTTCATTAATTTATTTATTTACAACTAGTAAGGCACTACAGCTTTTACAAATTATTACATATAATGTGCGCTAATTATTAATCGCTTTCAAAAAGAAAGAGGTACTCATCAATTCGGTTGTATTTTTTTATCTTTGTTACCTCATAACTCCGTCACTTGTCATTGTTTTTTTATCTTAAAGGATATAGTTACGGATTGGTTTCATACAAATTTTATCAAAATCGATATAGTAGCTTAGTTTTTAAATCAAAATATGATAATAAATGCCTCAGTTGCTGGCCGCTACAGTAATGTACTATATATATACACTTATTATTATGTTCTGTAACTATTAAATTCTTACTTATAATAATATCAAAATCCTAGGTTGAGTTCACTGTGATGTATCTAATATATAATAGATCTACTCTAAGATTTTAAACATAAATTGCTTACCTATTTCATAAAAAAAAATCACTTTCACTTTGAACTTAATCTTGCTGGTTAGGTAGTTAATTGTTTGAAATAGTAATATTTTAAATACTTACTTATGTATGTATTTATTATATATTTATTTATTTAATATATTATGTGTGTTTTTAATATCTATAATATATGAATATATCGAATGTTACTTTATTTTTCCTCTATTCAATAATGCACCGCCTACTTATTTCTCGGTTTGCCCAATGGTTGACTAGTAGAGATCACAGTCCGGTGTTAAGTCCAACAAATATACATAAAATTTTATTATGCATTAAAGTTTAAATAAATAAATATATTCTTTTCGTTCTATACCTTCAGAACCTTCAACACTATGCGCTACGTGAAAGATCCACTTAGTTGTCATTATGAAAATTATCTTTTCGATTATTCGATTATAACACTCGAAGATTATATTGTCCGAGTCTATTATATGGTTATGGCACCATATTCTCTCAGTATTTACTTAGGATAATGTAGTCATGTAATGTAGTAGTGCTTCTACCGGGGGTTAGTTGCCATCTCCTCTCCTTAAGAGGGGAGATGTGAATTTTTGTAAAAGTTAAAAAAAATATATAATTTTGTTATAGTAACTGCTGCATACCAGGAACCATTCCCCGGATGGATTGACAATATCTACGGTGTTACCGGTAAGTGAAAAGTTGCTTAGTACTAATAGTAATACAAATTAGTAATAGTACTTACTCTTTCCAACAAATTAGTGTCACTGAAAACCAACGTCACGTCCAAATAAAAGTCATTGCATATCGTCATTGTCGTAGAATACTGACGGATCTGATGAATATTACATATAAGGATCCGTCAGTATTCTACGACTATGACGATATAGCTGAATGGTTGTTATTTTTTAATTTTTTGTTTTTATTAAGTGCAAAGTTAAAAAGTAAATAAATTCTTCTTTCTTTCTTCTTTATAATATGCAACAACATAATCGTAATAAAATTAATATTATTAATTATCTTTCTATTATTAATTGAAGATTAATAAAACGCACCAATAACATATGAAACGTTCTATAGACACCTTATATTTGAATTATTAAATTTTGAACTGACTATTTGTGAACATAGGCCTTCCCCTTTGGGGTTGCCGGTAGTTGTCACACTAGGCAGGCGGGTTGACAACCGCAGTTAGCCTTTGATAATTTAAGCAGAACGCTGCTGCATATCTCTCGACCATTAAGTTCCTTTAGTCGCCTTTTACGACACCCACGTGAAAGCAGGGGGTAGTCTATTCTATGTCGGGACCGCAGGGCCAAATTTTACGAAAACTTAATTCTCATATTTCCACTTCGTTAATAATTTTAGCTGCGCTAACCTCAGGTAATTCAGCTTTTCTCTGTTTTGCATTGACTGAAATAATTTCAACAATTTTTTTAATTTTATTTTTTAAGCTTTAGATGAAATTGGGTATTTTTTGTATAAATGAAATGGACTGGACTATCTATTGCAATTAGAATGTTTTAAATCTTACTAGCAGTCCCAGAGATTAGCGTATTCAAACAAACAAATCCTTTCGCTTTATTTTACATATTAATATATGTAGATTTGTTCTAGATCTTCTATATATATTTATTAGTGGATATAAATAAATCAGATATCTGACTAAAAATGTTACTATTGTTTCTTACCTAAAATTATGATCACTAGGTATTATAATGGAGATATCCCGTGGAACCTATCGCTCTGGATATTGCAAAGAGCAGTACATCGTAGATTTGGTACCAGTTGATCTTGTGGTCAATTCCTGTATTCTAGCGGCTTGGAGGCAAGGAGCAAAACAGTAAGTTTTTACTATTATTGAAATATTATTCGAATATAATCATTATTATCATATCAGCCGTTAATAATTCCATTGCTGAACATAGGCTTCCTTCTTAAAGGTTTTGCCAGTAGTTGCCATGCTTGGCAGGTAGGTTGACAACCACATTTAGGTATTGTTAGTAATGCGGACTACCAGTCTTATTACTAGTAATATACCGTATCAGGTCGACCTCCACGTGGTCCCCTCGGAAACCATTGTGCTGAATTCCAGGTGCATTTATCACGATGAGCTAACTGACCTGCCTTTTCATTCTCACTTATCATCCCTCACTGGTGCCCTGCCAGCGTATATCGTTAGCGCAGGCGGGGTTACTATTATCCATTGTAAAAAACAGCTAGGTTTTAGTCACGTTTTAAAGACACTGCTACCTCGATCATTAAATTTGCTTACACCATTAATAATAACTAATAGATAAATAGAATATAATATCAAGAATAAATATCACAGTTTACACAGAGCCATATAGACCCAAAACTAAGTAAAGCTGGTACGAGCTGGTACAATAAAAGCATTTTACATAAAATAGAAAATCTAAATTATATTTCTACCTATATTTATGAAAATAAATTATTGACAGATTGCTTGATTTGAGTAGGTTTTCAAAGTTTTTGAGTACCTATCCTAAATTATTTTTACTGTAAATAATACATATAAATTTTACATAAAACACCCAGACCGACACTAACAGACACATTCATAAATATAAGAATTTAAAATAATATTAAACCGCTACACCACCAAAGTCTTCGAATATAAAATTCGTATCTATTCTAATATATTTATGGCATAACGCAATATTCTTATAATAGGCATATGCAAGAATTACTTTTATTCTCTACTAACCTATATGTTCAAATTTTCAGACCGGGAAGATGTCCAGTCTACAATGTAACATCTGGTTCGATCAATCCTCTACAGTGGGGTCAATTCACCCGTCTCTGCATTAAATGGGCCAGAGAGAACCCAACTAAGTGAGTACATACGAAAATTTAATAAGTTTTAGGTAAATAGTTATTTTATTTATTGTTATGTATTGAAAATTCTAAAGCATTCATTTTTATTTTTAAATATCAGTATTTCGCCAAATATTTCTTCTGCTTTCATGTAAAATATAAAAATAAAAACCGACTTCAAGAAAACCAGGAGTTTCTCAATTCAGTGGTATTTTCTTTTTTTTATCTCATAACTCCTTCAGTTGTAAACCGATTTGGAAATTCAAATATTTAAAAAAGAAAATATTTCTTTTCAGATACGTGATGTGGTACCCTAACTTCTCTTTTACCGAATCCCGCTTCATGAATACCTTTTGGGAGGTGTCATGCCACTTTTTGCCTGCATTCCTTTACGATATTGTATTGAGAGCACAGGGAAGAAAAGCAATGTGAGTATCATAGAGAATGACATTAGTTACTCATGTGAGGGCGGTGCCCTTTGGTGTCAATTTGAAAATTTAAAGGTTTTGACTGATATTTAATTTTGGGCTCCTAGAATGCAGTCAAAAGACAATCTGAACTGTAGTCGCTAGGTAGTAGTATTAAAAAAGATATTTTAAAGAACCTAAAAATATTTAATCCGGAACTCGCCCCCGGCCACGACGTATTCTAACATGTTCGTCGAAATGTGAGCTATGTTCACCACAACGCTAATGACCGTCAAATACCTCTAACCATCTCCATAGAAATTCTCGTGTTGAGTATATATTTATTACTAGTAATCCGATCCGGCTTCTCATGCATAAATAAAATTTTCGAAAATAATCCATGTATAGCCTATGTTACTCACAGATAATATATGTAATGTACAGCTTTCTATAGATGAAAGAGTGATTACAAAATTTTTAAAGGTTGAGAAGTTTTGAGTTTATCCATTTCAAACAAACAAACAATTAAGTCTTTCCTCTTTATAATATGAGTATAGATTAATTTTAATTTTAAATTAATAAGCGTTTTCCCCTCAACAGAATGATGAAACTCGCCCGACGTTTCAAAATGGCCGCCGCCACAGGAGAATACTTCGCAAATCACGAATGGCAATTCGGAATTTCTGAACTGTTGTCGTTGAACAACGAGGCGAAAAGTGCTGTGGACCACGCCAACTTCCTCTACTGGCCTGCTCAGTTCAACTGGGAGACCTACATAGGAGCGTATATGCTGGGAATCAGGAGATTTATACTGAAGGACACACCGGAATCGTTACCAAATGCTAGGACTAAATTGAAAAGGTATATTGTTGGGCATATAACGGGCCACCCTTTTCCATGCCAATGCCAATTTCTTTTCCGTTAATGTTAATGGTCAAGGGATGGGCAACGTCCCTCTTTAAACATCACTAAACGCTTGCCACGCTTGGCAGGCGAGGTTGCCAACTCGCCTGCCAAGCATGGCAACTACTGACAAAACCTCTCAATAGGGAGAGGTTCATGTTCAGGCGTAGACAGTTAACGGCTGTTATGACGACGATAATTATTGTTGGGAAATGTTTCTTGTTAAATATTTTGTTACTAGTTTAGAATATGTCTACTGACCGGAATAAAAAGTAGCCTATACCCTTGTCAATACTACATAGTTCGTGTATACCAAGTTTCATAGTGATTTGTTAAGCCATTAAGTCGCTATAAGGTAACAAACAATTTCACTTTGACTTTTGTAATATTAGTAAGGATTTACTATTTGCCCGCTATTGCGTATGGGTGAAACTTCTATTTTTAAAGTAGTCACATATATCTTATACCATTTCTTGTCTCTGAAGAGTTATTGTTATCAATTTCAGATTATACTGGGTGCATCGGTTACTTCAAGTTGCCACTGGTTACTACGTATTCAAACTGCTGGCCGGTCGCTTACGGTAAAAGCCTGTACAGTAATTACAAGGAATAAATACCTTTAATAGTTGTAAGCGATCTATTAATAGTCAGATATTAGAAATTAGAATCTGGGCCCAGTCTATGTGCATCACATAAAAAAAGGTAAACTCAGATATATTTCAGTTTAACATATCTTACAATTTTTGTATAATTTTTGACATGTCACAAAATAAACTTGTAAGAAAACGTACTGTATGGATAATTAAATTATACCAAGCCATTAGAAGCAAATTAATTGGTTTCATAGCCATTTACCCACCAAAAATTTGCTTTATCAAAGGTCTGTTTATTAAATAAATAAATATTATCCCAGCAAATATTTTTCGTAAATATTATTATTTTTTTTTTCAATTTTTGTAAAATACTGTAAAGTATCTTTATCTTATCTTTATCACTACAAAAAAAAATAAAAATATTGTTATTTTCTATCTCTAATATTTCTAATCTCATAGACAACTCTCAATTAGATCATTTGCAGTAATATGAATCACTTTAGGGTCCTATTATGAATAATCGATATGGTTATTTTAAATCACCTAATCATATTATTATCAGTTTGTTTGTATGAAACTTGAAATTATCGAAATGTATTAACTGATTTGAATACAAATCGAAATGGGTCACAAAAGTCACTTCAGATATATTAAAATTGATTTCCAAAAATTTTTATCAATGTAGAAACATTTCTAATTGAGACATAATTTTAAATCGTCATAATTAAGAAAAATATTATACTAGTAAATCTTGATCTATTTTGGAAATAATTGCTGCACTTCTTCACTTTATAAACCTTAAGATTAATCTAATTAGAACCTCTAAATATTCAATTTTAATTTCTGTCACGTCCATTATTTATAATTATTATATATTATATATTTGACAGGGTAATATCACACTTGTATATTTGATTCCCTATAAACCGTCGTCACAGTGCCTTAATAATTTATATAACAATGATCAAAACAACTTAAAATATAATTTCTTATACATGATAAACATGATTCATATCAACAATATGAATATATTGTTACAGTTATAAAATATTTAAATTTATAGGATTTATACGATGAAATGTATTATCACATGTACCTGCGTTGAATTGAATGTATCGACATTTTATACTAGTATATGGACCTTACTCTTCAAACTTTCTACAGATTTTTCACTACAAAGTGATTAGTGCGAATTGTTCAAAGATTTACGTTTCCATTCTCTGTGGCATAAGCTGTAACAAATACATAACAAAAAAATTTAAGTCCTTTTGAATAACTATTTGCACAAATCACATTTAGATACTTAAATCTTTAAAGAATTGACAAACAATAAACTACGAGCATTGACTTTAATAATCGCATGTGAATTTTGTAAATAATTGAGATTTAAAAAACTTTTGTAAATTTGTGATCAAACGATTGTGGTAAAAGTCTTACATCCTATTCCTATAGGCGCTTTGTAAATTACCGTAACATAGCACTAAATCGTACGGTTTTATCGTCACAATAAAATAGGAGCGTAATACTCGTATATGTATAGTCATGATAAATATTGTCTGTATTGATATTATTAAATGTTTTGTGGTAAAGCTGTCTTGTGCATCTAATAAATAAATCTTTTAAATTCTTGTGCGCACTCACGATATCGCCATGCAGTGCACGTCCACGATATCGTTACGGAAAAATGATATCCCACGATTTTACCGTGACGATAAAATCGTACAATATCATATCGTACTACGGTAAATTATAAAGCGGCAATAGATGGCAGCCTATAATATTCTTAATCTATGATACCAGGTTGTCCTCTGACAGAATAACTCGTATGTTCAAAAGGTATTAATTCAAAGAAATGGTGTTTAATATATTATTACAACCTTTTAATACTTGTACAGAATGCAATTACTTATAAGGTAGATGATTTGTTATATTTCATAATGTTTAATGTAAATAATAATAATAATAAGTGTCACACAATTACACTGATCACCTGGTCTTCAAGCTAGGATATCCTATGTTAAGAGAGACCAGACTATGAACATCTGGGGGCACAACCCAAAATACCCAGACTCACAGTTAAATTCTGTTAACTATGTTTTAACATTACCATCACTTGTAATGAAACATATCAAGTAAATATATTGTAGACAAAATTGTGTTTTATTTATGTTTGAATTAAGAAAATAATTATTATTTATAAAATAAAATCATAAAATTTATAACCTAATTCGGCATGTTATATTGAAACAAAAGCGCATTGAATGACTTTTGCTAAAATAAAAAGGTTTTTTTTATGCAACTTAGAATGTCAAACAAGCTGACATCAGGTGGGCCCTGATGGAAAGTGGTAACCGTCGCCTATAGACATAAGCAGTACCATGGATATAACAGAGTATACTGTTTCGCCCATGATACCCCCTATGCGTTGCCACTAAGAATTCCTCTGTATCCTGTAAATTCATTGCCATATCCCATATTTCAAACCGAAACACAGCCATACAATACTGTTTCACGGTAGAAACACGAATGAGAGGTGCCTAAGCAAACGACTTTTGTACAAAGTCTCTCTCTGGTAAGGATTTCATTAATTTAATCGTAATAGTCTCTTCCATTTTCATTAATGTGCTAAATACGTTTCTATTGAATATATAATAGATTTAATAAAATCATAAAGTCTTGTACGAGCTATAGCCGACCATAGCAAGTTAGTTGTATGAAAATATTTAATAATCAATTTAATGATGAGTTAGCGCCTACGCACGTGCATCTAAACTTAGGCGATGATAAGAATATATTAATATTAATAGGTCGATAGGAAGTAACATGCCAAGGAACGACAAACATCTTTTATAATTTTCGGCAATATTCCGCACTCACCTCAACATTAACAACATTATCTGTTAGGGTAACAGCCCTAATAGATGAACAAAAGATTGTTAGTAATCTAACAATCCCATTACTAGCAGTATACCCTACCAGTTCGACCTCCACGTTATACCTATTGGAAACCACCATAATTATTCTTCATCACGATAGGCCAACGAACATGCTTTTATTGCCACTTATTATCCATCATTGATGTCTCGCCAGCGTTTATTAATAGCATTAGTGAGGTTGTCATTCCATTATCATTCATTAAAAAAAAAAAATAGCCCCAGCAAAGTTTTTTAAAGGTATCTTAGTAAGTATGCAAACTAAAACAGAATTTAGTTCTAATATTGCAGTTAACATTATGGCGACAGAGTGGTCGTGAATTGTCCATTTCCTTCGTCCTTCGAGCATCAAAGCTCTTTAAAAGGTCTTCTACTGTTATCTTTTGTAAATGTGTAATTAATAATTAAAAAAATAAAATACAATAATGTTTTATTGAAGTTTATTCCAGGAAAAAATTAACAATTTCGTGAATAAGGTTTTTCTTTGTCACACAATAAAATAACATATTAAATGGATCATAAAATCCGTCACTTTCAATTGAAAATAATCTATTACTTTTGATTTAATGTATTATTCAATCTATTATTTTATATATAATTCAATATAACATTATAAAAGCTACAATGAATTTAGTTCAGCCACCGAATGTCTTAAAAATATTTTTACTTTTATAACCTGTTCCTTTTTTTTATTATTGGCATATTTAGTAAACAATATCGGCATTGTTTTATCGTAATTAATGATAAAAATAATGATATTCAATGATGCATAAACGATCAATACAAAAACATTTTTATTTAGTTATCAAAATGCCAAACATGCTGAGAAGAATGTTTAATATAAAAAAGTATAAAAAGAAACATATAATATTTTAATTAATTCTTTGATCACATTAAAATTTAAAGCTTAATTATGGTTTTAAAAACCATTAACATTTTTAATCACTGACTGATTTTTTTTTAATTATACTCAAGTAATTTTCTTACAAATTTAACTACACGTAGTAAATATAAGTGGCAAACTTTACAACTGTCACTAAATACATAACTATTAATTCGTTAATTACAACTAGACAATTTAAAAAAAAATCTGCTCATAAGTTTCCCCATAGTTATTTGACAAGATCAATATTATTTAAAAAAAAAAAGTACCTTCACCTAAATTTTAAAATAATTTCACTGATAGTAAGTACATTACATGAAATTAACTAAATTGCCGATGACGACTAGGATCCCTATAACTGACGATTGTTTAACCAAATAGGAGACCGTAAGATAATCTCCTATTATAACTCGTGCGACCGTGTCGCCCTCTCGTTTTAAGAATTTTTAGACCGCCATTATTATATACGAAGACCTCTGACGTGGCTTACTAAATGACAGTTTTACGTGCCATCTGAAGCACGAAACGTGTGAAGGTTATTTTTGTATGAACCAAACAGGAGTTAGGAAAATTCAGAATTTCAAGTTGGAATTAGATTCTGAGATTTCCGGACTACACTCGAGCATTGTCCAATTTATTTGTCATCGCTTGCGTATTTACGTGATTATAAAACTTAACGAAAAATTAATACATGAAATGTGTTAAAATCAAATATCTGAATTGAACTAAACCTCGTTCTATTAAGTATACTTATATATATAATGTTTCAACACCTTCCGTGATATTTTTAAAATAAAAAAAAATGTATAGGTAGATAGAGAGACAATTTGTAGTATTAGGTTGGTACATATTATAAGGTACGTATGTTGATTACAATCCTAACTGTATTACTAACTTAGACAAACCGTGATACATCTTTCTTCTTTAACGTAAAACAAAAAATAATAAAATAACAGTCTGATAACTTAAATTGTAGTTAACTTAAAAGTTTATAGTTTATATACTTTAATAAAAACGTATGATTAAGCAAAAGTTTAATGAAAAATGGATGCTCTATGAACTTGCATCGTTGTTACACTACCAAGGACCAGTAAACTTGACTAATAAAGTACCTCGTATAATCTCGAAGTATTTCCAATCATGTTACTGGTGATTATTCGTTCCTCTAACAATCTCGAGGTATTTCCAATCATATTCATATTACTGGCGATTTCTCATATCTCGAATAACCTAGAGGTATTCCCAATCACATTCCTAGTGATTATTGATACCTTTCAAAATTTCAAGATACTTCCCAATCCATATTAATGTGGATTATTTAAATAGCGTCTCTTACAATCTCGGGATATTTTCAGACACATTACTGGTAATTATTCATACCTCTTATAGTCTCGGACCATTTTCAGTCATATTACTGTTGATTATTTATATCTTTTACAATCTTTTTTTCTGTAATCTTATTATTGTTTACTAATATTCCTTATAGTCGCGGGCCATTTTCTGTCATATTACTGGTGATTTACAATCTCAAGGAATTTACAATTATCTGACTGGTGATTCGCATTTGATGGAAATTTAAATACAAACTAAATTTAAACATAATACAGACACAGATATCTTCAATCACATTCTATCACTTGACCTCAAACTAAACGTATATAAACGATACAGTTCTCACGAATGACATGTGCTTCCATTTTGCTAGAGCTTCCAGCTTATGAAAACACCTAATTATTTTTCTTTATAAATTCGCTTATTTGCATTTGTTTAGAATTTATATTCAGTATAGAAAAATTAACATTTTTTGACTACGAATAACAAGAAAGAACAAAAAAATAATACAAAAAAGCCAACCCCATTCCCATCTCCCCTACATATCACAGATTACTGGTCCTTTTTCTATACTACCTATTTCTTATTTTTTCTTAATTTTTAAAGTCGAGTACGCTACTAATATTGAGCATTATGGCAGTTAGGCAGCCATAACATGTGGAAGATCTTCCGGTGATGTAGTCACATTTGAACTAAAGTTGAACCATCCGCTAATCCAGTATAAGATCAGTCCCCAGAATACGCACCTAAAAATAACGTCTACCCACCACATCCTGAAAACAGAAAAACAAAAATTAAATAAATAAAATTTGGCAAAAAGACATAAATAATGAACGTTCATCATGATCGTTTATGATCACTTATGACATTATTGACACCACAGTCAATTTTCTAATATTTATGGTGCTGCTCACATCTAATAAGCAAATACCGATTTCCATGAGGTAGACTGTCAGCTTGTATACTATTCCATGTTACTAAAAAATACCAGAGAAATCTACAGTATTATCAAAATTATAACCTAGTTACATTAAAGCTGGAATGAGTAATCTATTAAAAAAGGTTTCAAGGCAGCAGTTTCATATGAAACCGCGAAATTAGTTGTATAACACAAGATAGTTCAATTGAAGATCGCGCGAAGCATAATTTTTTTTATGCAATTGAGAATAGCAAATGAATTAACAATCCACCTATTGAAAAGTGGTAACCGTCACCTACATACGTGTATAACGTTTATGAAAATTTCATAATACTGTGATGTATTTAGTGTCTCTTATACGTTGCAATTTCTGAGAACTACATTATTAACATGCGTTAGCCTTTGCACCCTATAATTTCACTGCTGTATTTTATCCTTAAAACCAAAGTAAAATTGGCTCACTGATCTATAATTGTAAAATATTCTGTCTTAGTAATCCCTTTATGAACTCCTGCGATACAAGTTTGCCTAGTACGGGGTCAAATATACTCGTATTGTATATTCCTTATGTTAAATAAATAAATAAAACATATTAATCCTGATGCCATTAAGACACTACCGACTAAACCGTCTTTCGAAAAATCGTTCATGCTTACTTTTTTACTTTATCTCAGCAGTAAGTGCTTTATATTATTCTCAATATCGTGTATAATATAATATATGTCATATATTAACGTAAGTATATTTGTTATTCATATATATTTATTCGTTTATATATGTAATTTTAGTATGTATGTACGAGTATATCAATAATTAGTAGTACCGCATTCGAGTATTCTGACACTTCCCTATGATTGACTGGGAGAGAATGCTTCTAGCATTAAGTCCCCCATGTACACATATTTGTACTAATGAATAAATAAATTAAGACGAGCACAGCGACTATACGGCAGAAACATGAGATAGGCGGAGGTACATCATACATGCATTACGAAAGCATATGTTTAAATATGGAACATTGATGAAATTAATTTCGTAGAACTGGTTTTGTCCATTTAATGTCGTAGTGTAAATTAGAACTTTTGAGTACATTACTATAAGATTACATAGATAGAGCAATGAGTGTCAAAACCATATTAACATTTCAACAGTCAGCTAAATTGACATTTGCCTGACTCAATTTAATACGTATTTGTTTTAATCAAGACAAAACGCGCCATTTATTCAGTGTTGCAGTAATAAGGTTGAAAACATCCCAATTCAAGTAGTTTTTTTTTTTTAATTTGAATTGGGAACTATTTTTTTTTTTGTCATATAAATATAGATCGATAGTAGAGAGATACACTTTATTGTTTCCTCTAAAATATTACAGTAGTAATCTTATTTATACAATATCGATATAGATACAAATAATTACAAGAAATGATCACACTGAAAAAACTATGGACGGTCTAATCTATAAATTAAAACGATGACCATTTTCAATCAAAGATTGCAACATTTTTATTTTTCAATTTAACTTAATAATATAATTTCTTCTACATACTGAGTAGTAATTATACATTATGGAAACCTTATTCATGCAACATGGATAATAACTTTCATCTGTTTTAAGTGAAATATTCGTTTAGAGACACTCTATCTATATAATATAAAATTGCTTTATATATATTAAACTCAATGGTACGTACACTCTCATATGTCTCCTGGCTGCGGGTAGAGTGTCGTCGTATTCCTTTAGTATATAAATGCGAGCAGCTCTGATGCAATCTTCGAAATATTTAGTAATGTCGAGACCTGGTGATCATAAACAAAATTGTGCTTTAAATTACATCATATAATTATAATTAAACAAAGAATTTTAATAAAATAAAAAAACTTAACTTTAATAAAATAAAATAAAAATGCTAAACATAGGCCTCCCTCATAAAGGGGGGTTTTGCCAATAGCTGTTAAGCTTGGGAGGTGGGTTGTCAACCGCAGTTAGCTTTTGGTGATATTTTAAGAGAGACGCTACTGCCCATCCCTTGATCATTAAGTTCCCTTAGTTGGCTCTTACGATACCCATGGGAAAGGAAGGAGTGGTCCATTCTATGCCAAGACCACACGGACAAATATTAGTATAATATAATACTGTATCAATAGTAGTTAACATATTTTGAAATCCAGACTTACCAACAGCGTCTACTTTATAGTCCCGCCTCTCCCTCGGGTTCAACTTGCGGCGTTCGTTTTGAGCAATATCAGATTTGAAGTCCCACTGGTTATTCGTGTAGTATTCGAATACTTCGAAACCTTTACTGATACGTTGTTGGACACGCCATAGACTGAAAATATAACAATCATAACCATCATCCTTTTATTCATACATCAATATATTTATTCCCTCTAATTAGGGAGTTTTTTATACAACTTAGAATGGCAAACAAGCTGATGGCCCACCTGATGGAAAGTAATAACCTTCGCCTATAGACATGAGCAGTACCATGGACATAACAGATTATACTGTTACGCCCATGATACCCCCCATGCGTTGCCATTCCTGAGGACTCAGGTGTTATTCCTCTGTACCCTGTAAATTCACTGCATATCCCACCCTTCAAATCGAAACACAGCCATGCAAACACAACTGCTTCACGGTAGAAACACGAATGGGACAGAGGTACCCAAGCAATCGACTTTTGTACAAAGTCGATTGTTGTATTCGCCAGTATTCGCCACGCTTGGTAGGCAAGTTGGCAAACGCAGTTGTAATATCGCCTCTTACGACATCCACGGGAAAGGAAGGGGTGGCATTCTATGCCGGTACCGGCACGGCAAGAAAAATTACAAAAATATGAAAATCATGTACCGATAATTATTAAGTGATTAAAAAATTTAGAAATAAGTGGAATTTAACCATTCTACGTCATGGCATAATGTGATTAGCCTATTTTAATAATCTTTCTATATCAATTAGTATTAGTAATTACTAAGTTTATTTTATACCAGTATGTATCTAACTGTAAATGTTTATCGTTAGATATGTTTTCGTTACTGCATATAGAAGACAGAATGTCGTGCCAGATATTGTTCATTATTTTATGCTATCTCTATTATTTTATTATATATAGCAGCGACAACTATCTGTTGATTGATTCGTATTACTACTTGTCTAGAGGAAGCCCATTTATCTTCAATTTAATTTGATGAAAGAGATAACTAATCTATACTCTTTCTTTCTGCGGTCACACCAAGTTAAAAAGTGACGTATTTATACTTTAAAGCTGATTCAAAATACTTACACAGGCTTGTATCCTAAACAGAAGAGTAAAGTATCAACGATCACAGCCGGAACCCAATGGAAGAAGAACGCACAGATGTTGTGAAGCAGACGGGAATGCTTCATGGACCCTCCCGGATACCTATAATTTAAAATATCTTGAAAACTATTCGATTATTGGCCTATAGATTGGTATTTTTTATGTCTTTTGGAGACATTTACGTTCTTACTACAGAAAATATATATATATATATATATATATATATATATATATATATAAAACACTGTTTATCTAAACTGTGTTTAAGTGATTAAATAATATTTAGTCAGTGTAATATGTATGTTTATTTGTAATTTTGTATGCCAAAATCTATAGATTATTACAATAAAATTTATTATTTTAAACCCATTTTATTTTAAACAGCTAAACTATCTATTATTAAAAAATAAACAGATGTTACATACGCTTAACAACGTAGTCGTCTAAACATATATTGAAAACCTGTTTATAAGTTTAAATAAAGTATGTTTTTAAGTTTAACTTTCATAATAAAAATAAATAAATAAAAAAGATGATAACATTACATTTATGTGATCATTTTCGTGATTTTAACTTTTTAATTTACCAATGCCTCTAGCGGATAATTTCGGAAACTCAAGTTTCTATAGTTATGACAATCACGAATCGTAGCGTTTTTGTATGAAATGTTGAGACACACACATACCCGAGGGTATGCTTAAACATGAAATTACTATTATGAAAAAGAGTATCGAGTAAAGAGAGTCTAATTGTCTCGAAGAGGGTTTAAGTGACGGTCAAAAAAAATCCCGAAGATATTGAAATTTACATTTTAAATACTCCAACAAAAAACAGTAATAATTAAAGATTGTGTTCCACAAAAAAACTGACTGAATTGTGACGAAACCAGATATTTTGATCTAAAAACTAAACTGCTAAACGCGATTGTGATAAAATGTTTATGGGATCAATCTATAAGTATATCTTTTCACATAAAAAAAAATCCAAAACAGTTTAGAACTAACAGGTTATAAGGTAACAAACGTAAAAAAAATACAACCGAATTGAGAACGTCGTTGTTGAAGTTGGTTGCAAAGAACACGGAGTGCAAAGTAAACGGTTAACACTCACTCAGGAATTATATATCTGTACCTTAGTTAGATACGATACAATTCAAAATTGATAATTTTTAAGGACAGTCAAACAAATTTTTTTTATTTTTATTAAAAACCAATTTCCACTCGCAACATTATCTGCGTGACCGGGATATGTTTCCTGACCAAGATAAAAAGTAGCCTATTTTTTTCCATCTCATATAGTACTAAATTTCGTTAAGCAATTAAGGCGCTATGAGGTAAAAATAAACTAAAAAGTGAAAGTATCACATTTATAATATTACCATACATTAAGTAACTGGCTCTTGGCCACGAGCGAAAATTAGTCTTCTGCCCTTTTATGGACAAAATAAATTGAGCTGCAGTCATTTTGTGTTACTATGGCACATACATAAAAAATATATATATATATATATTACTTCTTACAAGATATAAATTTTTCTTAGTGGCGAAAAATACTAAAAACGAAAATACATAAATTTTCTTTATTAGTAAATTTATGTATTTTCACGCCATATCCCACCCTTCAAACCGAAACACAGCCATGCAAATATAACTGCTTCACGATAGAAACACGAATGAGACAGAGGTACCCAAGCAAATAACTTTTGTACAAAGTCTCCCTCTGGTAAATAAATTATATATTTATCCATCTATGTAAAAATTATAGCGCCTTTATTAGATAGTAATTGAAAACGCTAATAATTGCTTTCTAATAATGTTTTTTTTTTAATATTATTCCCCTCTTTCCTATAGAATTATCAGTTTTTGTGAATATCGTAAAGTTTCTGAAATAATTGGGTTGTACCCAATTATTTCAGTTAATCATATTGCAGTTATCATGTGAATATAGTCACAATTTGACTTACGACTACCTTCATTGTAATACTGAAGAAAAACTGTTCGGTGAAAAAGGATCTAATAATTTTAAATTTTTTACAAACATTTAATTTACAACATTTAATTAGTAACGTTTCCTGGCATAATAAAATAGTCATTACTTAATAGTACACAAAGCCATACATTAATTAACTTGTTTAAATTAAATCTGTTCTCTCTCTCGCCGTACCGCTGCTGTTAAATTTCTTGCTTTGACATCCACGATACAAGATTTGCCTAGTGAGAGGCGATAGTTATATTGTATTATAGGTTAATATTATTTAATACAATGAAGTTATTTATTACTTATTCTTAAATTGAAATAAATATTACACAAACAAAAATAAATTATAAAGAAAAACATTTTTTTTAATGGATGATAATGGAATAGTAACCCCACCCGCGCTATCGGTATACACCGGCGGGACACCAGTAAAGGATGATAGGTGAGGATGAAGTAAGTCAGTTAGCCCATCGTGACGAATTCAACAAGAATTGTTCACGATGGTTTCCACGTGGAGGTCGACCTAATAAGGCATATTGCTAGCAATGGGGCTGTCAAACTCCATTGGGAAAGGGATTGTCAGTCAAACTCCACTAACAATCCCTTTCCCCCCAGAAAAACATATTTGACGTTTGGGTCTAATTCATTACTATTTTTGGTACCGTTTTTTTATCAAAAATCATTTAAAAGATATTTTCATATTTTCTTAGACAATTAGAAAGAGCAAATTTTGCCTATTTGAAATAGCTTAAAAAAGGGTACCGGTTACTTTGACTTAAATATAATTTTTTACTAGACACACAGATGTATGTAAATTATAGTGTAACGTCTACATAAATTGTGGCGGTATGTAATATTTCCAGTGGTATGTATTTATTAAATTTACAAAACTCACCACGCAACGCCATTCAAGGGCACTCTGTTCGTGATAATTTCTCGGCCGGCTTCTATCATTTCATTCCACGTGACCTTGACCTCAGCGGATGATGTAAAGTTTATTATATTTATTGTCTTGTCTCTGGAAAAAACGAAATGTAAATTCTTTAAGAGTGTCCATACTCAAGGTTAATGGAGTATGACATCAAATATTTCATTTAAAAAAAACAACTATTTTCAAAATAGTGCTTTGACAACGAAATAAAACAGTAACCATAAAATAACCAATAAGTCTTTAGTGATGTTTTAAAAGGGCTGCTGCTGCCCATCCCTCGACCATTATGTTACTTTTTTGGACCTGCTTTATATTTTGCTTTTGAAGTTTTCAAATACTTTTTTTGTAATCACAATCTTAATTTTCAATAATAGTTCAATAAGAAACTTCTCATATTTCATAATTAACATTTTAGTCAGAGCATCAATCAGAAATATAAAAAAAAAATAAAAAAAATAATAAGTGCTACATAAACACACTAATTGCTCGACCTTCTAACGCGTATGTAAGATACTCCAAGATCTCATTTACTGCATTACGAAAGTCGCCATTCGTTCAAATGTTTTAAAACTTTGGCAGAAAATTCCGAAGTGCAACACTGTAGACAGGATATAGGGATTATTAGTAATTCCAACAGAATGAAACTACATATGACTTCATGTCACCCTGCCATAAATCGTATTGCATTGTTATTCATAATAACTCGAAAAAAATATATATAATTTTTTAACTTACCCCTCAACTACGTAATGCCACACAGCAATCATGATACCATTGATAAAAACATCGACTGGTAGAAAATCAGCATAACTATTACTTTTACAGTACATAGTCCTGATTACACCTTTGCCTGCTCCTGCAATAGAAAAAAAAGTCATTTGAGATGCAAACTAATAGTGCAATAAAATTGTAAATAAAAAAATTTGTATTGCCATAAAAACTATTAAAAACAATGAGCCATAAAATTATTGGGTATTCAATTATTTTCATTTTTTTTAACTAATTTATGCCTGTCTTGATTTAATAACTATGTATTCCTCTTTAGTTGTTACAGGTGAAGAAACATCCGATGTGAAGAAAGAAAAGAAGCGATTAGGATAGCAGATTTTTTTATCCAACTTGGAATAGCAAACAAGCTGACGGCCCACCTGATGGAAAATAAAAACCGCCACCTATAGACATAAACATAACAGAGTACACTGTGTCACCTATGATACCCTTAACGCGTAATTATATCATATAGATTGTATCTCGATAAAGATGCATTTTTGGAGATATATTACTTAAGTTATTAAAGTTATTCTTTAAATTAAAATTCATGTTATTACAAATAGACTTGTTTACAAGTTATTTAAAATATTTTATAATTCTACTACTGGGTTTGTAACGTTGTTATTTATTGAGAAGAATTTGCAAGAAACTCAACAGTCAGTCTTTAAATGTCAGTTAACAATATTTACGTTTATTTAAATGTACCGTCTAAATAACATGGTCATTTCAAAGCCCGTATATGATCAAATGACACCATGCACGTTTGTCATTCGAGTAATCGTATTACGTAGTAATGCTAATATTAATTTTGATTGTTATTTACAATGTGCAACGTGATGAACAGGTGCTAATGGAGAAGCGTCACAAGGGTCCTCAATTAATCACGTAAGGCTCAAAAAGGGGAAGGCCCCCCTTCCCCTTCGGAAAAATCATGAAATATCACAAGCAACAACAAGGTGTAAAGACTACCTCATTTCTAATAATATATCTTTGTAATATATCACTAGATATCATGTGTATATATTTTTTGTTGAACGCGCGATTTCTAAACCGAAAAGTGGCGCGTGACCCTGACTCAATGTTGCAATCTTAATGTCTGTCTGGACATTTTTACCATAGTGACTTATTTTTCATAATTAAAATATATATAATACTATATACTTAGAGTATATAAATAGAGTGTCTTCATGGAAATGCTACGAGAAAAGCGGGTCAACTTTTTCATACAATTTTGCGTGATAAATAGATTAGAAATCTATTCATTCGAGTAACTTTTATATTATTTATTTCGTCTTATAAATTCTGTAGGTATCTATTTAATGCGTAGTCCATCATTTTATTTATTAAATAATACGTCAAGATACATTTTATGCATAAATGTATGGAATACCGATAAAAAACGATTCAGCTGATTTGACAATTAGCTGACAAAAAGTTGACTCGTTTTTGAGGCCTGATAATCTATCTATATAATCTAAGACTATATACTAGTATTTAAAGATAATATTGCTGTGTAGTCTCGAAACAGAATGGGCCACCCTAGCCTTTCCCATGTATGTAATAAGAGACGACTATAGGGACATAATGATCGAGGGATGGGCAGCAGCTTCTCTCTTAAAACAGCATCCAAGACTAATAGCGGTTGGCAATCCGTCTGTCAAAAACGGCGACTACACGTAAACCCTTCCTTATGAGGGAGGCTTATGTTGAACAGTGGACAATTAACGGCTAATATGATGATGAAAGATAATATTATGAAATTTTTTAAGATTACTCGATACCAAAAAATACACGTGATATTAAGTGGGGGTTAATTTCAAACATCACCATTCTCACCTGGGGTACAGGGGGTTAAAAAATTACTAAAAAATCACGTGTTTAATAGACGACTTCATAAGTGTCAAATTTTCGATTTGAATAAAGTTATTACCATTTCCATTCAAAGGACTGTTAATTGTTTCCAAAGGAACGTGGGTTGGAAACGACGTAAATATTTTAACCTCCCATATTAACAAAGCTGGTCTAGTTGTAAAGTTAAGGATAGGATAAAAATGTTTTGTTTCTGAATTTTTAATCCATGAAATTTCTGTGAGCGTAGACTGGCCCATGCCATGCTCTGATATATTCATAGTTCTAAGAAATTCGGCATCATCTGTATCCTTACATATTATAAATATAAAAGTACGTTTGTTTTTTTGTTGCCTTTTATCGCCTTAACGGTTTAACCAATCGTACTGAAGTTTGGTATACACGTATTATTTGGAATGAAAAAGAACATAGACTACTTCCAACATATTTCGGCTACGCAAATGAAGTCATTAATAAAGACTAGTACAATATAAAGCTTACCTATTAACAAACCGGTTGGTCCATTTATATTATCTGTCCATCCTGGGATTGGTTCTCTCCAGATAGGAATCACTGTAAAGATAATAATGTGGCATTACTGGTGATTACTGGACATCCTACTGCTAGGCAATAGTATAGTATATATAGCTCTCAATATACTCATTCAAATCGACCTCCACGCCGTCCCACTGGAAACCATAGTGATTAATTTCAGATAAACTTCTCCTGATGGACTAAACTCTGTTTACATCTTCACCTATCATCACTCACTGGTACTCTGCCAGTATATACCGACAGCGCTGGTAAAATTTTATCATTTCATTTTCATTATAAAAAAAATAAGATAGTATAGGAATAGTGCTTCATCTTTTGAGCGTGTGATTTCAACTTTTTTTTTGTATAACTGCCTACCTATAATATTTGTACTATTATAATGTTGTTACTCTAAGTTTAATTTAGTTGATTGTAAATATTAGCGATGTCATGTGCATTAGTTTAGTCTTATTTTTATTTGTGAAAACCTATAATTGGCTTTTTGTCTTTACTGTTTTTTTTTTATTTATTATGAAATTTTCTAGCTGTTAGTTTTTCTTTAATAAAAAATAAAATAAATAATATTATATTTGTAAAGCAGCATCAAACTTATAAACTCAATATTCCGTGTTCTAAATTCAAATACTATCTATTCATCTTTTTCAGATAATGTCTCCATAGATTTATATGGAGACACTATCTGTTTAAATTAAGGTGCTTAGCCAATAAAAGACATATCCAGAGTTGTGAAACATACATTTAAAAAGAACACTTTGTTTTAGTTTATAAAATATGTATGTCAATGTTAAGTCAGTTAAACTGCCATTTATCTGACTCAATTTGGACCTGTTCTTGACATTCAATGCTCTATCTTTATAATCCTAGATTTAGTCCAATATACTTGTTTATCTACTTACCAATGGAAGGTCTAAGAATGCAAGCTGGAACCGAGTTATTTTGTATAGTTTCAACAACCAGGGCCTCGCCGAGGGCCTTTGTGAAAGCATAGGAATTGGGGAAGTTGTGCAGTAACCTGAAAATTTATAAGGATACCATCTGCTATATTTATTTATTTAATCTTATTTTCCTAATACAACAAATGTATGACTGAATGATGTCAGTACACAGAAGATATTTGAAACCAATTTATGTTAGAGATTTTAATAGGAACAGTAGATTTTTACCTTTTTTTTTATTTTGTTTGTCTGTCTGACTGTCTGTCTGTCTGTATGTATGTTTAATCCTATAAATTACTACTCCAATAAATTATTTATTATTTATTTATTTAAAGTAAACAGTTACATAGACAATATATATTCTTAGTGCCGCGAAACCGCTTTGCAGTTTGTCTGCAGCTTTACGCTCTTGTACATACAGTATTGAATGTGGTTATGTCAGTTATATTCCTGAAGGCTTAACTTAAAAATTGACATATTTTTTTTATCTTGAAATGCCATCTAGAAGTGTTCTACTTAATTGGTGTTTCTACTTCTGAAATTTACGCATACGAAGTAGCGGGTAAAAAACTAGTTTAATCAGAAATTCTACAATCTTCCATATTAGCCATGAATCTCCGACAATGGGACGGATATAATGTCAAAACGTAAACAGTAAAATTAAATTCAGAATTATTACACAATTATCGGTATTAAGCGGCCGAAGTCACGTGAACCGACTAGTTCGATATAAATAAATAATGCTATATGTATATAATATAGTAATTTTGTTCCTTCGGGCAAAAGTAAATATTTACCGATTTAATTCTTCCTAAAACTAATTTTGCATGGGCAATTTGCCCAAGGCGGCGGCTCTGTTGGCACTTTTCTAAATCGGGTCATATGCAGAGTTAACCGTAGGACTTCTACCAGTATTAGTGGTGGTCAATCTTTGAGTGTTGACAGTCGCACACATACTAATGATAGCGGAATTAAAAAAATAAAAAATAATTCTAATCAAGTAACCAATGACATGGACTTCGGTAAGATAACACCTAGATTAGTAAAAAGTTCATAGATAGTCCATACTGACCTCGGTGTAAGTGTCGCTATCGTTTCATCGTCCATCCATTCTATAGCTTCTATGATTTGATGAGGATCAGCCGGTGGAGGATACGCTTTCTCTTCTAACAGTTTTTCATGCAAGTGGCAATAAGCCGTTGAAATGTGTATGAAAATCTATGAAAATTTAATAAAAATTACAAAATTATTTATTTGTTGAAGGAACATTCATTTATAGGGTTTGACATTTGACATTTCCTTCTAATGGTGAGATATGGACAGACTGTTACTCTATTTATTATTAATATTATAAATGTACAAGTGAGTTTGTTTGTTTGTCACCTCTTAGTGCCTTAACAGCTATACACAGAAGTACTATTATATAATGAAAAAGGACATATGCTACTTTTCATCCTGGTAAGTCAACATATCCCAATCGAATTTACAAACACCTTTCCACTAACACAATATAAACCAAAAGATCATCACCCCACCCCACGATCCCAACTTGCAAAATCACCTCAAAATAACACCTCAATGCATTACACCACTACCTATAAAAGCTTATAAGATCCATCGTTACAATTATTACAAACCGCTGATCCCAACCTTACCCATTTATTTTTATTCATGGTGCAATAAAGAGTTAAATAAATAAATAAAATAAATACCCACCACGACCACGAACCACCAATCTACGAACCCCTTTCAACTCATCATATCATTATATTAGTTTTTAACTGTCCAATGATAAATATAAGCTTCTCCCAGAATGGAGGTTCTGCCAATAGTAGTCCCGTTTGGTAGGCTGGTTGGCAACCGCAGTTAGGATTTGGTGATGTTTTAAGAGAGACGCTGCTGTCCATTCCTCGACTATTAAGTTCCCTTAGTCGCCTCTTACGACACCCACCTTTCCACTGACACAATCAAATCTCCCAAAATCATCACCCCATCCCTACAATCTAACCTATAGTACCATCTAAAAATGACACCTCAATTCACTATAACTCTACTCACAAAATTTCACAACAACCCATCGCCACACTCAAATCAAACCACCCATCCCAGTCGAATTCACTAAAATCAACACCCAAACACTTCAAAAACCCAAACACACATTACACAACACATGTACAATTTATTTAATTGTAGAATATTAATACCTCCAATTTCTTGCATTGTTTAGCTAAAGCAAGCACTTCTCTTACGCCGCGAACATTCAAAAGCACTGCTTTCTTAAGTTCTTCGTCGAATCTGTGAAAAAAATAGAATATAAGGTTTTAACGGTTATAAACAAAAAAATTTAACGGTTATTTCCGTGTTTTTTTTTTTGTTATTATTAGATGAAACAACATACACAAGAAGCATAGTTGACTATTTATACATATGGAATTCTAATAAGACAAATAATTTTATAATAATTAAATAAATTAATATTAGGTACGCCGCCACGTTAGTTTTTAATATACTTGGCAAAGTGTGGGCGTGTCGAGTGTTGTTATGTGACCGTTGTGGTGAACTTACCACAACGGTCACATTCGTCAAATGCCTCTGACATTTCCATCTGGGATTACAGTGATGAGAATATTAAGGTTTCTTCAGGGTCGACAACAAGCACGTGGAAGCCCTAGTATTGCAGGCGTCCATAGGCTACAGTAACCGTTTACCAGCAGCTGGGCTGTATGCTTGTTTGCCACCTTAGTGGTAAAAAAAAAAGTGATAAATTAACCTTATGGTTGCGGCAGCATGAATGATGAAATCCACCTCGTTGATTATCCTCTGTTGATCTTCTTCGCTCATAGCCAGCTTCTTCTCCATACAGTCACCAGCCACAATGGATACTTTCTTCAGGAGTGGCTCCAATCCACCCCGCAACTTACGAACTTGTTCGAACAGCTGAAAAAATATATAACTAAAATTAATGATAGATAGATAATTTATTTGCATTACTACAGCACACAAATAATAACAGACATACATATATAGTACAAAGAAATAAAAAAAAAATGCATATACAAAAAAAAGCATAATATATAAAACAAATGACATTTTTTTCTTTCATTCGTGTGCCATTGTAACACAAAATGGTCACAACTCAGTTTGTTAATTAATTAAATTTAAGAGTTTCTTCCACAAAATAAAAACAGTTATTTACACTTATATGAGAATTAATATGGGAAAAAGTAAAATCTAATAATCACTATTGACAATAATATCACGTAATATACGTACAGAAAGAAAGTTTTCTGCTAAATTAAAATTCTCCTCGTTTTTAATTAAATTACTAGGTATAATTAATTTTAAAACATTAAGTCCCAGTTGCGTATTTAAAATATGCTAAGTATAATTTAAATTTCAAGTAAACATAGGTTAATATCCTATGTATTATATTATCTGTGCCTATGTTTATTTGAATACATTAATGCTAATTATTTTCTATAGGTATCTATAGAGTCACTACATATTTATATAACATAATATATTTTTTGACAGTAACACAGCCTGAAATTATGAATAATGTATAAATTAAGAATAAATAAATAATAAATTAAATAGATTTCACTACTATATATGCATAATAAGTATTGAATCGATTTTCAACATATAGATAAATTATTATTGCGATAAAATATCCTTGGAAAATTATCAAAATTTGTCGTGTGAACGACACAGCAACAATTATTAATATTATAAGAAAATATAACAACAACAACAAGAACTATGACAATATAAAACATATTGATCAAATGGTCATTGCTAGCAATATTTTTTTATACCACAATGGTGGCAAACGAGCATCTGATGATCCTGTCTGATGATAAACAATCACTGTAGTTTATGGACGCTTGTAACACTAGGGGTAACAATATACCCTATTATGTCGACGTACACACGGTTCCCTGTGGAAACTAATGTAGTTAATTCAAAATCGACATAATGGGACAACTGACCTGTATTTATCCTGACCTATCATCTCTTACTGCTGCCCTACTAGCGTACCTATAATGATAGTGCAAGCAAGGTTTCCATTTCATTACACCCATGAAAAAAAAATGCCTTTGGTACCGACAACAAAAAATATTTATATTTAAAAATAGTAATCCTAGCATACATCTTTCGTGTCATATTTTGACTCATACATTCTTTATCCTGAGAAATCCTTGAGCCCCCCCCCCCCATAGAATATAATCTGACAATGATGATCATGATAGCCCGACCTAGGTTTCCTTGATACCGTATCCTTTCACTTCTGCATTATTTTGTTACAACAATCTGATCTGACATACTTTCCACATAGGGCATGGTACCCTAACCATGTCAATATGTCCTTTCTCTTTTATAAAGTTTTTTAATATACCTATATATAGTAGGGCATGAGTAATATGGATATCCATCCGATATCTTTATATTGGGTTACTCTTGGACATTGATAGGGGAAAAAAGGTCATTACCCAATTTAATATCGCATTTCGGTCGCATCTATTTTCAAATATGTCAAAAGTCTGATGTCCAATATTATTTTTTGGACTTTTTTTTTTTTAATATACAGATATTGCTATATGACTCTATTAGCCGTGACATTAGTCCCTAAAATATATTCGAAATGGCAATGATTTTATGAAAAAAGTAAGCTCTATAATAGTTTATCCATTACCAAAGACTACAATTGTCTTTGGCACATTTAAAATAAAAAATGCTCATAAACAATATTCATAGACATATAGAAAAAAAAATCCACACAATCATACCAATGGTCTGATTCTCAAGCTAGGATAACCTATGTTGTGATGAACCAGGTCGCCATTGTGACATGCTCACATTTTACCAACTATATTCTAATCTATTAAATATATATAAGTATATTCATATGTATGAATATATATAGGAAATTTATTTATTTATTTTTATTATTAAATAAATTATTATTAAATAAACATTTTCCTGACCACAGAAAAAGTCAGAAATTTAATTCGACATTCTAACTTTCTTGTCTCCTCAGTCAGATTTGAATTCACGACCTTTGCAGACAATAAATCGGTCTTTAAAATACCTACCACTTAAAAAGTCTCAATATCCATAATTGTAATTAGTAATTAATAGGTATTAGCAATTACTAATTGTACAACGCCCTAATTTCTATTTGCTTGTACTAATCTAACCATGTACTATTTTATGCACTAGTGACTAGGATGTTTGCCGTTATGATGAAACGCTGTCACAACCAACCACTACAAATGTTACGCAAAGTCGTATTTCACCAACTCCATTGAAGGAACTGCTCATCAGATTTGACGACACATAGGCTGAATTTTATCATGTTGCTACACTATAATATAATATATAACATAAATAGGATAGTTTAATTTTTGTATATTTGTTAGTAATAAATAAATTTGAAAATTACTTAACCTATTTTAAACAGAATGGAAAATTAAATAGAATAAAAAACAATATTATCAGTGAGTAACATAGGAATATACTTTAATTATAGCTATATATTATATAAAAAAAATTAGAATTCCATATGAAAATTACTGCAATGTAATCCAAAGTATAAAAAAATCTAATAAATATCTATTAAACCTTATCAGATGAGTCGTTAACTATCCACTGCTGAAAAAAAGCCCACACGGTTAATATAAAATACTAATTCATCTTTCGAGGGTTTATTTACCCATGCGAAGCCAGGGCGCATCGCTAGTGTTGTAATTAAAGAAAAAAGGTGACAAAAAATTAACCTTTGAATGACGCTAATTATCAATTGCATATACTTCTACATAAAAGACAAACTATAGCTTATTTTATTTATGCTTAGCGACTTAATAACTTTGACAGCATATTGCTGAACTGAACATTCCTGAGTCCTCAGGAATAATAACGCATGGGCTTATTATGGGCGAAACAGTATACCCTGTTATGTCCACGGTACTGTTCATGTTTATAGGCGACGGTTACCACTTTCAAGGTCGTCAGCATGTTTGTCATTCTAAATTGCATAAAAAAAAACTTTATTATAAATAGATGGTTCATTTGTTTTCAGAAAAAATAATTTGAAAAAAAAAGTATTACTGATTTAGTTAGTAGTTTAATAAATTGCCCATATTTTCTACCGCTAATCCTTAGTTAGGCAGTAACAGAGCCTAACAAAAATTAAACTTAATAAAAGAATTAAAACAAAAAAATTTTGCTTAATGCCAAGTTTACGTTGCGCTTAGTAGTATAAAGACATTGGATGGTACTGTTGTTTACGATTTAGAGCCAAACAAATTACTTAAGAAACCGCATGATGTAAATGCATTGCACGATATGGAATGATTAAGACTATTGTAAATACTTGTAATTATAATAATTATTGTTTTATTATTGTAATTGTTTTATTATTATGTTTTTACTTGGTGCAATAAAGTGTAAAATAAATAAATAAGCCATTATTTTACACCAATACCTCACCAAGTAAGGATCTGATGATTAGTTTTTATAAACTTTTTTTTGTAGTGATAATATTGTCTAACACATATAACGATGTTCGATGTTATACAACGTTATATATTCCATTTCATTGGGAACACGAAGTTCCCAAACACCAAAATAAAAATATATCTCTAACATCGTCAAATCTGATCACCCATTCGCCAATAAGATGTCATATTATAAAATCATATCGCATATATTTCATTAACTCATACAGAGTCCTGTGCCTTTTTTCATTGTCTCAGCTAATCATCACGAAGGTACTTACAATTTTCAAGTAATTTATACCCTAACTTCTAACCGTTATGGAGTTAAACCCTCCGTCATCTGCTCATCTAAATAACTTAAAGGAATATAACAATTAATGATCCATAAGTGCTTACAGTATTTAAAAAATTATCCCCTGGTCAACAATATGAAAAGATAAATACCAAGTGTAAAACATTATATGTGCCTATAAAATTTAAGGGTTGCCCTCGATTTGCCTGGTATTCAATCATCAGATCCTGCCTTAGTGACAATATAATATAATATAATAATAAAATTAGTTTATTCATCTCCACAAATTACAATGTATAGATTATTTACTTTATACAAAATAAAAGTATCGTAATTTGTGGGAGATCTGGAGCCTAAACTAAGTTGTAACTTGTATCTTAGACACCAGGTCCCCCCCAATAAAGTATTGACAATTCAAAGTAAAAGGTAGTTGCGTGGAGTAAAAATAAATATGATTTAATATTACATAGACAATAGAACTACATCAGGAGTATAATCGGTCCACGATTGACGGAGAAATCGGTAAATAAACATAATAAAATATACAAATGAACCTAGTATCTCCTCCTTTTTTGAGGTCGGTTAAAAATACACGTAAGTCAATCCGGTTATTTTCACAATTAAAACAATTATATCTACTGCACGTCATTTCTTTGCGGATCGTAATGACGATTAACTGATGACGACAGACAGGAAAATAACAATGACTGTAATGATATACGATAAGTAATAAGATGATATGACAGATACATACAAATTAGAATTAAATACCGTGCATTTACACGCGTTACGGTTAATAACTGTACTACAATGTATTGTACCTACTATATTTCGGCTTGCCGTACTTTTTAACTAATATATCGTAGGCATTTACAGAAAATTAAATATATATATATAAGAATTTTATACTTTCTTTGTGAACAAAAAATGGTTAAAGAAAACAAATACCTAGTGCAAAAAGATGTAGTATTATTCAAAATATTGTTATTTTAAATACTATAATCAGCTGAAAAAATGTTAGCGACTCTATCATGCGCGGTTTTCCTTCATGGTACCCCTTAAGAGTTGTTTTTAGTAAGGACTAACTTTTTAGGCCTTCGCATACAATAATTTCCACTTGCACACAAGTTCTTAGATAGTTGTCG